TCTCTCTCTCTCTCTCTCTCTCTCTCTCTCTCTCTCTCTCTCTCTCTCTTTCTCTCTCTCTCTCTCTTTTACGTAAAAAGTTTTTTTTTCAAAGTCGCGGTAGAAATTATAACGTGAATATTATTCATTAAAGAGAGCTTCCTTGACGCTAATGTCAGTGTTAATAAAACCGAGTGTGTATATATAATTGATATGAAATAACACGCAGAACATTTTCTACGCTCATTGAAATTAATGGCACTCGTGTGTATGCCGTCTGTATTACTTCGCTGTTCACACTATTTGAATTACTATTTTAATATTATTAGTCTGTCCCGCGGATTTTACTTAAAATAAGATCAAATTTGTCAGCAAACTTGCTGTTTGCTATCGGTATTGATACCGTCTTTCGACGAAATATAATTACGATCGGAATAATTGATTGATTTCTCCCGGAATAAAACGCCGATGTCTTGTCGAGTGCCGGGCGCACCTGCATGAAAAAGCGCACGCAATTATGCAAAAACGCGTGTATCAATTGCGGGAGACGAACCTGCCGTTATATAAAGAACCGGTATAACATATCTCTCTCCGCTCAAACGCGACATATAAGCCGTTACGTCGTGTGCGAAACGCGCGAAATGGAAACTGCAGCGGCTCGCACTTTCACGAGGACGTGAAGACCGTCTTACGACGATAACGACCACGACGACAGGAGGTGCTCAGGGGAGAAAGGAGGATCGAACAATGCTCTTCTTAATTACGGCTGGCTTAATTGCGCGCGTTTTCCTCGCGCACAATAAACGCGAGATGCGAATTTGAGAATGCGAGCGGTCGACATTATATCGTGTAACACAATGGTGACGATAATCAAATCAATAAGCAAGGATTATCGAGCTCGTACAATAAGTATCGGAAGTGAAATCCGAGCCTCTCGAAATTTGGCACAACACGCGCGGGGTTTTACGATCCGCAAGAAATCGCCGAGCTAGAAATCTTCGGCGCCAGCTATTTTTGTAAATAAGCTGAATGTCCTAATTCGCGACGATTTGCATCCATTTTTGTTTAATAAGTTATTAATACGAGTCTATATTTATCTTGAACATAGAGTTCTTATACTAAATTTTATACACTAACAGTTATAGCAAGTTTTGAATGAAATTAAAAGTCGCAGTAAATGCCGAAAAATTATATTTGTATAAGCGTACTGCTGAAGAAAAAGTTTGAAAAGTTACTCACTGAAATCTTAGAAGTTAACAATTAATTTAAATTACATATCCATTTGTTAAATACGTACATATTCTTGAATTTTAATTAATTGAAATAGTTGTATCGAAGTTAAAATAAGACTGAAGAATATTTTATAAATGGAAAAAGCACAAAATATATAATTTTCATAATTTATATATGTCAATCGGTATTAGAATATTTATTTATCTTCAACTCCTAACAACTAGAACAAAAATATGATATAAAATGATATAAACCTTCCTATTTCTAAAAATGAGATTTCTAAAATGATTTTTAAATCTTATTCGATTTCATTCTTATTCGATTTCATTCTTACTCAATTCATTATAAATTTTATTTATTATGGAATTAAGAAATAATATTAAAGGGATGCTGGATATCGACATAATGCAATTTCATAGTTTATATTGTTTTTCTATTTGATTGCACAGAATTGCAAATACTTTCACAGAATAAAAGTATAAATTCCAATACATAGAACGATACTAGATATCGTGTCAAAAATTTTAAAAATATGGTTTTGATATAATGTTTGATACAACACTTGTACTTCACTCCGCAAAGCATTTGCAATTATACAATCAATAAATTTTTATATTTCTTTATTTTTGCGATGAGGTTATTTGATTACTAATTAGGAGATTCATTTTATGTCAAATTAGAACAAAACTATACTAAATTATCATGTCACTAAATGGTACATCAACCAATTTAGAAAAAATATTATAAATAAAATAAAATCCTCCTACGTGTTAAAAAAGATATAACATAATTAAAATCTCAAACTTTCAAATTTTTTAACAAAATCAATATTTTGTAATTAGTGTTTAATATATTTTTAAATTATTAAATTATTTTCACATTGAGGTTACTTGGGCATTAATTGCAAGAGGATTACTTGAAGGATTATTTACTAAAAAATTTGATATACATGTCACAAGATAAATATCAGTTCATTGATCGAGTCGACTATCTACGATTATAAGACTATGAGTGACCGCTGAGTATTTCATTTTTCTACTTTATCTTTTTTACTAAGTCGCGATGTAATCGTCGTTGATTTTCCTGTTAGCTTCCGCGAATGCCTCTCGCGGTGCAAATGTACGTCGCGACTTCAGCGGGTCTTGTAACAGTTAATATATACGCATAGCGAATCGTACGTATCTGATTTGCTTTCGCTCTCTGATCGCTCATCCCGTCGCCTGACAGGAATATTCATAGAACAGAGAACGCGAAGCGTTATTTACGATGTAATTAACCATGGTAATTAATGGAAATGCGACCGAGGCGAACGATTTTTCATATGTACTTTCTTATTTTTCTTATTCGTTATACTTTCTCTGCAAAGCACGAGAGTTTTATTATTTTTGTTCTCAATACATTTGCACCATTAGCCGTTCCTCATGTTTGCAATAGAAACGTCTCACCCTCTTTTCAACTCACTAGAAGTTGAATGTTTATGAAAGAATTTTATTATATATGTATCTCTTTCAGTTACACCATATCTTAAAGGAAATCACGTCGATTTCTTGCTGAATCATTGAAAAATCATTAGGAGTGAACAACGGTTATTCTAACTAAATTTTAAGGACATTTACCGCGTTATCCACAATATTTTTGCTTTTTAGTACTGACGGTAAATGACGGTGAAAATATCGCGCTATTAGGTAATATTGTAGTAACGTGTTCTTGATGCTTGGAATATATACAAAAATTCTGTAACAACGTCGCACGAGAAATTGAAAATGCAATTATAGCGATGTAATGTATTTTAACATACAAAATGTCTTCCAGAACAAATCAGTTTTTTGAAATAGCAAAGTTGAAAATAAAAATATATTCATATTTATTATTCATATACTTTATATAAATTGCATTATGCTCTAATCCTATTTGCATTTCATTTACATTCACATTTCATTATACTTTTTAATATCTCGGCTTACAAAATCTCGAGTTTCTTTTTTTATATAATTTTGTATTTATTATAATTATGTAAATAACATATATAATTATATTAATTTTTTCTTATAATAATTATTTTTTTATATTTGTACTTTATAGTATTATATGTTACTTTATATTCTTTCACTTTATTTTAAAGATTTATATTATTTCGTTATTATTTATATTTATTAATCATAATCAGTGTTTTCAAATAGCAAACTTAAAAGTAAAAAATATATATTATTCGTACATT